CGACACCACTTAAATTGTTAATTGCAATCATGTCTGAGAAAATTTCGAAGGCATGTGAAGTTCGCCAACACGCATTGAGACCGCGCCGCGGACATTTCCTAGCCATAAATACAAAGACAATAGCAGAAAGTAAAAAGTTAAAAAATACTTTTTTAACAATGACAGTCATTAGTTGATCATTAGTGAATGTGATTCTGTATTCTTAAATTACAGGAAGAAAAGAGCAGAAGGAAGAAATGGGCTGATGGGAAGTAATGAAGAATGAATTGTTATGTGAAGTTTGTTGGAACAAACAGGGTTAAGTGCTCGTAGATAATAAGTAATAAGATTTTGTATTTTATAAATAAAAATTTTAACAAAATTAAGTAATGTGTTTAAAAGATGGAACTGGAATGTTTATAGGACTTCAGTTTGTGGCGAATATTGCTTAATGTATTTGCTATATAAGTTTCAGGGATGTTCAATGCATAGTTTTACGAGTATATTTACAGAGAACACATTGTACAACGATATGTTAGTGGATGAGATGTTTCGCCCCTATTTTATAGATAATAAGTAATAAGATTTTGTATTTTATAAATAAAAATTTTAACAAAATTAGGTAATGTGTTTAAAAGATGGAACTGGAATGTTGATAGGACTTCAGTTTGTGGCGAATATTGCTTAATGTATTTGCTATATAAATTTCAGGGATGTTCAATGCATAGTTTTACGAGTATATTTACAGAGAACACATTGTACAACGATATGTTAGCGGATGAGATGTTTCGCTCCTATTTTATAGATAATAAGTAATAAGATTTTGTATTTTATAAATAAAAATTTTAACAAAATTAGGTAATGTGTTTAAAAGATGGAACTGGAATGTTGATAGGACTTCAGTTTGTGGCGAATATTGCTTAATGTATTTGCTATATAAGTTTCAGGGATGTTCAATGCATAGTTTTACGAGTATATTTACAGAGAACACATTGTACAACGATATGTTAGTGGATGAGATGTTTCGCTCCTATTTTATAGATAATAAGTAATAAGATTTTGTATTTTATAAATAAAAATTTTAACAAAATTAGGTAATGTGTTTAAAAGATGGAACTGGAATGTTTATAGGACTTCAGTTTGTGGCGAATATTGCTTAATGTATTTGCTATATAAGTTTCAGGGATGTTCAATGCATAGTTTTACGAGTATATTTACAGAGAACACATTGTACAACGATATGTTAGTGGATGAGATGTTTCGCTCCTATTTTATAGATAATAAGTAATAAGATTTTGTATTTTATAAATAAAAATTTTAACAAAATTAGGTAATGTGTTTAAAAGATGGAACTGGAATGTTGATAGGACTTCAGTTTGTGGCGAATATTGCTTAATGTATTTGCTATATAAGTTTCAGGGATTATACGTATAGTAATACTTTACGAGTATATTTACAGAGAACACATTGTACAACGATATGTTAGTGGATGAGATGTTTCGCTCCTATTTTATAGATAATAAGTAATAAGATTTTGTATTTTATAAATAAAAATTTTAACAAAATTAGGTAATGTGTTTAAAAGATGGAACTGGAATGTTGATAGGACTTCAGTTTGTGGCGAATATTGCTTAATGTATTTGCTATATAAATTTCAGGGATGTTCAATGCATAGTTTTACGAGTATATTTACAGAGAACACATTGTACAACGATATGTTAGCGGATGAGATGTTTCGCTCCTATTTTATAGATAATAAGTAATAAGATTTTGTATTTTATAAATAAAAATTTTAACAAAATTAGGTAATGTGTTTTATTGATGATTCAGATTAGTGTTGTAGATAGGAACAAAGGAGTATAATACAATAGCATAAGCCGACCCACACGCTGGACGAATAATAGATAATGACGGTAGTCAATCAACAATAGATAAGTAGATAAGGACAATGGAGCGCTAATGACGGTTGAGGCTCGTAGCGGATATCAATTAGATAAGAGTTAATTGATCTGCACATCTCCAGAACCGTGCATCCTACGCAAAAATGGACCGCAGATTCGTGATCAGAGCATGCCAAAACCTTTTTTTTTTTTTTTTTTTTAGGATTGTGAGTCGACGAATGTCGTGCGCCAGAACTGGTACAACCTTTCTACAAGTGCGCCAGAACTGGTACAACGTAACTACTAGCGCATCGTACTGATAACGGCAAGTCATTTCATAATCCGACAGCTTGTATTGTAAATGATCTGTCCGAAAATTTGGTATTGTGTGCTGGCATTTTAATATAAAAATCTCGATTATCTCGAACGTCTCAAACGTGAGTCATGGAAGAAACCAAACCATTTTTTAGGTAAGAAGGGTAGAAAGGATTAGAAATAATATTAGAGAATATTGTTAATTAACATTTGCTACCGTTTTTTTTTTTATAGAATAAGGGTGACAAACGAGCATGCGGTTCACCGGATGTTAAGTGACTACCGCAGCCCATGATCAACCTCAACACCAGGGGAATTGCAGGTGCGTTGCCGGCCCTTTAGAAAGCAGTAAGCTCTTTTCTTGAAGGTTCCCAGGTAGTATCGGTCCGGAACAAATCGCCGATGGTAAACTATTCCACAGAGAGGTCGTACGCGGAAGAAAACTCCTAGTGAAACGTACGGTGGTGGACCGCCAAGCATCCAGATGGTGTGGCTGGTATCGGGAGGTTTGCCGCGTAGTGCGTTTATGAAATTTGGCGGCTGGGATTAATAAATTAACCACCTGATGGTAAGTGGTTGCTGCGGTCCATAGATATCTATCTATATATCTATCTTCGATTACAAATCAAAATGCAGATGCGTTGTCACCCGTGAGGACTAAGATACAATGCCTCGTTTCCAGTAAAAGGGGTCTCCGGTTGTCACTCGCCATACGAAACAGCAGCATTAAGCTACTATTTTACGCTGGTATTCTTTGAGAGCGTGGTCCTTCCCCGGTCGAGCCCACCCATTCGTGCTACAATCATGGCAACCGCAATTTTTTAGTTTTTGGTTGTTATTAGGAAGGCGCTCCTGACCATCTCCTGGTTTGTTTCCCTTTTTCCACCTTTACGACACCAATGTGACGGTAGATATGGAGTAGATATATACTAGTAATATATTTATATACATACAACATACACAGTCATTACAGGATGAGCACCCTAATTCGTCAGTGTAGCCAACGATACAATACCATATGCCACTCTACTTAGCTCGCTCAGCGAACATGAAAACAAATCAGTTCGCTCAGACATGGCGTTGATCACACGCTGCGCGCGCGCGAGCGGCGCCTGCTGCATCAGTAAGGTGCGCGCGCGCGGCACCGCCAGCAATGGCGGCCGCCGCCGACGCCCCGCGCACCCATCCGACACATTAAGTCGCACCATCTCCAGCACTCTCGGGTATTCTACCCCTCATCACCTTCAACACGTACATAGCGAGAGCTACTTCTCTTCTGACTTCGATCTTGTAGTATCCTACCATACCGAGCAAAAATAGAGTAGGAACAACAACGAGGGATAGCCCGGGTATATTCCAAATAGTTTCAAGTACATGAATCTAATAAATTTATTTTGGATCCGCTCTAACATAAATTTGTATTTGACTTCATGAGGAGCCCAAATGACGGCGTTACACTCTAAGTGGCTCCTTACTTATATATAATATTAGGGTATTAATAAATAAAACTAATAATTACGTCATAGGATTTATTTACAAAAGTAATATCTGTGTGGAAACTGGCGCTGCTCAAGACAATACAATCTACAATCTTAAAATAAATCAAAACAGAAACTAATTATATATAAGTAATTTCCCGTCACGCTATTGTCAGACATTTGCAATATAAAGTTATGTATATGAAAAACAAGGGTCGCATAGAACTGTGGTATATACACACCTATATCCTCAATAGAATCAAAAGTCAGAAATAGTGTTGTCACCCCTTGGGCTAAGATGGAAAGCTTTACCAGTGAAAAGGGGGACCGATTCTTGCTTCTTACGACACATACGCAACACAGCAGCATTTTGCTGCTATTTTACGTCTGTGAAAGCGTGGTCCTTCCCCGCTCTATCATCCGATTCAACTTCAACGGTGGTACGCTGCAGCGTGATTCTATAATGGAAATATAGTCTATTTATTGCCGCCTATACAAAACATTTTAATAAAAACATAAGTGTATTTTGAAAATAAAAAGTAAACTGAATAACAATCTATTATATCTCATCATCATCATCATCATCATCACAGCCCTTCACAAGTCCACTGCTGAACATAGGCCTCCCCCAAGTAATGCCACAAAGCACGGTCCTGAGCCACCTGCATCCATCGACTTCCTGCATATCTTACCAGGTCGTCACTCCATCTAGTGGGGGGTCGTCCTACACTACGCCTACCGGTACGAGGCTGCCACTCGAGAACCTTTCTTCCCCATCGGTTATCGGTTTTTCGAGCTATATGGCCGGCCCATTGCCACTTCAGCTTACTAATCCGTTGGGCTATGTCGGTCACTCTGGTTTTACTGCGGATATCCTCATTTCTAAGTCTATCACGCAGAGAAACTCCGACCATAGCCCTCTCCATAGCTCGCTGAGCGACCTTGAGCGTCCTCATACGGCCAGCAGTGAAGGACCACGTTTCAGATCCGTAAGTCATCACTGGCAACACGCACATATACCCCCCATGAACAATTACACAAATCTATTATTAATAAAATAAAATGTAATATGAATTTCATAAAAAAATTTCATTGAAATAATTTTATACATCTTATACGGAACCATAGAATACTATAATAATACATTGTGTATTATAGTATTCTATGTACGGAACTAACAAGATTTTTCTTTCCTCATAATCTCTCACTAACTTAAGACTTGATTCGTCATTTTTGAAAAAAAAAAAATGCTCATTAAACTTAAATGTTATTATAATTGACAACATTATCTAATATATTTACAATATTCTATTTACATTTTTTTTAATCTGGTTCTTGGAACTGGTTATCATATTGTAGTCCTTGTGGTTAGTTGACTTGCTGTCATGTTCATATCTTCTGCGTTTTCTTCTTTCGCGTAGGAGAAGTTATCGCAGAGGACGATTACCTGTGAACAAACGAATTCAAAGTCCTGTAACCAAAACACCTTAAGAGGAAATGCGGGCCAGGAGACTTTTGAAAAATAAGTATTTGAAGAAAATATCGCTGTCGCTCTGTGCACGCGAGTGCGAGATCAACAACAGCAGATCCGACTCAATAGCCTAAGTAAAAAGGCATAATTCGAGGCTCTGACTACTTACAATACAATACAATAATTTTATTTCAGGCATCAAGGACTTAAAAATTAAGAACATTGGCCCATAGCAATATATACCTTAACCTAAAAATATATATAAAATATAAATATAATACTATTTAGGGAACTTTTTCTTTGGCGCGTCCCTGAATCGGCGAAACACTACCCCAGAGGGCCAGAAATCGGGAGCAAGGAATGTCTCTTTGTATTTTGCAGGGACTTGGAGTACGTAGGATTTGAAGTTCGTTGACCTATTAGACTCCAGGCGCTGCAAATGTAAAGAGATCGGATCCTCTATGCGGCATCGGCTTCGTTCTTCCACGAAACGCAGGACGTCTTTTCCCGACGTACTTTTGTCAAAACGGGAGATGTAGAGCTGTATGGTTGGCTCCACAATACGCAGGGTTGTGCTTGCGTTTATTTTGGCGGTCCCACGCTGGTTACAGACGGGTCTCGACCGACGTCTCTTCTCAACAAGAGTAAACCCGTCATCATCTCTCTTGTTTCGGGTCACCACAGGAACTGATCTTACATCCCCATTATTTTGTTTTCGACCACAGGAGGGTACCGGTCGTGAAGATTTTCGAGCAACATCCGCAAACGTCTTCCCTTGTTGTCAGGTTGGCTTCGGCGGAGGAGTACTCAAGGGTTCAGTCAAGGGCTGAGGTGGTGATGCAATGACGACCGAGGTCGCCCTAGGTTCACGGTCATCAACCCGCTGAAGACGGTATCGCGTGACGGAGTCGCAATCATCGGTGAAATATGACTACCGCGTGTCGTATTTACATTCTGCGACGGCGGTGAATTCGCAGTTGTTGCAATTATATTGCAACATAGTGACTTCGTTTTTCATCTCAGTTGCGGTTCGTCTTCGCGGACTTCGGCTTTCAACGTGGTGATATCTTTCAACAATCTGGTCACGTCTACGTGATCGAACGTCACGGGAGGCAGCTTGTTGAGATCACGCGCGACAAAAGTTGGGATGTCATCAGGATCGATCTCATTGAACAGCCTGAAGATGTCTTGCAGGTCTTTCTTACCGCGTCCATCTCTATAACGTGTTATAAGACTTAAATCGACTGAGAATCAAAATGCAGATGCGTTGTTACCAGCGAGGACTAAGATGGAATGCCTCGTTTCCAGTAAAAAGGGTCTCCGTTTCTCTACACTCACCATAAGAAACACAGCATCATTAAACTGCTATTAGTTAGTGCTAGTTAGTTCTGAATAGGTCAAGAAACTCGGCATAACAAATGCTTGTAAACGATTGTCAAATACTATAACAATTATTTTAGATTATTTTTAGATTACCCAACACGGAAGACACAGGAACGTACATTTAATTCTCAGGTTATAGAAATCTATCGATAATCGATCATAGGAATTCTATGACCTAAGATTTAATTTTATTCTCTAAACATACAATTTTATATTACGTACTACTATTATTGATCGAAGCTAACTAACTTACTTTTAAATAATTCTTGCTTCAACTTACCGTGTAGACTAAGCAGATAATGCCTACAACAGATCCTGTGAGAACATCCCACCAATGATGGCGATGGTCTGATATTCTGGTGAGTGAACAGACGACGGCGTAAGTGATGCAAATAAGTTGCAAAACTGGGACGAGGAATACCGTGCGGTGACTCCAGTCGAATGCGCGTCTTTGGAGGTACCACTGGAAAGAAAGTTTTATAGTAAGGTCTCTTTGGCGTGATTTGATAAATATTATGAAAATGTCTCGCAATAGCGACTGTCGATTAGTATTATTATCTATGATATAATGTAACAGAATGATGGCCGATAGCGTAACGACGTCTCGCGTCGATCCAAGCATTGCCAGTAGGGGTCAGCCAAGTTGACTATCTGCAATCGATAACGCTTGTAGAAAGCTATTCAATAAACGAGAATGATATCATCACGTCACTTATAAGTGGCTTAATGTTGGTTTAAAACATTACATAATATTCATATTTCATTTCAAATTCAAAACTATTTGATATTCGGCGCGTTGCTGCCGCAGACAACATAATTGTCGTTGAAATATCGTTTTAAATTTGGAAAATTTGTATTGTTTAAGAATAATTGAAGTTGAACGATATATAATTTTCAAATAAATTTGTCAGTATGACACGCGCACAAGCTAGTGTAATTCAATTGTACCCTGCTTTCACGCAAGTGCAAGCAATAAGTTGAGAAATTTTTAAAGCAACCTGATGAACGGTATGGCAGTGCATAAAATACGAACAAACAAACATTAATTCTTATATGTTAGATATGTTTGTATGTGTTAGATATATTAAGTTAAGATATATTAATGCATGTATATATGTACGTACGTATGTATGTATCTATATGGGTACAATATTGGAACTATAGACGACTTGGTAAGACATGCAGGTAGTCGGCGGATGCAGGTGACTCAGCACCGTACTTTGTGGCGTTCCCTTAGGGGAGGCCTATTTTTGGTGGACTTGTGAAGAGCTGTAATGATGACGATGATGATGATGATGAATATTGGGATTATTAAATGTCAAGCATTAGCTTAGAATAGAAAAGCCCACAATGCGTTAAGTCCACCCTTTGTAATACCCAAGGCAAACAACAAATTTAAAAATGGTTTGACGTAAATTAAAACAATTTGGCATATGGTGTGGTTATAGCATTATTAAAGGAGCATAGAATAAAGTGCATTAAAGTTTTGATTTCTTTATTCAATAAAACTTATTAAAAAACGTAGAATAAGGGTGACAAACGAGCACACAGTTCATCTCATGGTAAGTGGATGCTGTGGTCCATAGACATCTACATTTATACACGAAACAGATGCGTTGTAATTACTGAGGAATGAAATAGAATGTCTCGTTTCCAGTAAAAAGGGTCTCCGGTTCTCTACACTCACCAAACGAAACACAGCAGAGTCAAACTGCTATTTTGCGCTGGTATTCTGTGAGAGTGTGATCCTCACACGGTCGAGACGACACATTTGTGCTACAACTATAATACAGCTGCAGCGTAGGCACTCCCACGTTTAAATATCTTTTGATCTACCAGAAAAGTTAAAAAAAATCAAATTACACACAAATTAAATTTTTTTAAGCAAATATATTTACCGCCATAAATAATCCACAATATACAGAAAGCGACGTATGTCCGGACGGGAAGCTGTGGTACGAGTCCATTTGATACCAAGTTGAGAAGCGCGTCGACGTGCACTCGAATGTACTCACGAAATCGGAACTGAAAGAAAATGATTATCATAGTTCGCCTTCAAAAGCTTTGTAGTAAAACATAAGAACGCTGCTATAGCCACTTAAGTGTTGACCGATGCTAGAAAAACTACGATGTAACGGAATGAGATTCGAAGCTCCAGAAACCGGGAATATCGGGTGACAAACAAACACAAAACCATTTACACTTACATCTACCTTCGATTAAGAATCATAATGTAGATATATCGGTACCCCTGAGGACTAATCTGTAATGCCCGATATCTGTTAAAAGCGTCTCCGACTCTCTTCACTCACCTTAGAGGACACCAAGGCACTAAGCTGCTATTTTATGTCCGTATCCTGCTAGAGTAGGGTTGTCAGATCTTAAACCAAAAAGCTGGACAGACCGGCAAGCTTGGCCGGACATTTTGGTAAAGAGGCCACTTATCACAAGGACACTTATCATAAGGTGAACTGCGTGTCCTTCTGTCACCGTCAATGTATAAAAAATCGATTGTTGTCCAGAAGGGTAGGAAGAGACTATTGACTTTCATTTCACATGATCCTGACACACCTTCGTCATCCATATACACACGCATGGATACTCGTGGTTTAAGGGTTCTTATAATTTGGTCCATCCTTAATATATCGCCAATTTGGCCAACAAACTTCCGTCTAAGGCATCCCTTGCTGACTCTGCCTTTTCACATTCATTATTTCTAGGTGTCCAAACCACTGAAGCAATCCTTTCTAAATGTAACATCTTGCAAACCACACTTTTCTCTTATCACACAATAACTACCGCGTTGCTCTACCACATATTAAATATCAATAAAATTGTTTAAGTATAAAATAAACCATAATGATTTCTTATATTTACGTGAACACTATACATTGATTAAAACTACTTTTACGGATTTTATCGCGTTTTATTTATTTTTAATACCCTTTTTTATTATAATTTTTTCTTTTTTTCTTTTTTTATGTATAAAGAAAAAAACTTAAGACTACGGCGGGCAGTCTGCAGACTGCTCTCTGGGAGTGACGGCAGGATCGGGCTCGGGCGATACAGCTTACACCCAGCGCTCTTCTACCGGGCTCCAAAAATGAAAACTTAAAACTACGGCACGGTATCTGCGGACTGCTCTCTCGGAGCGGCGGCAGGGTCGCGCCGGGCGGTGCATACGACTTCACCCAGCGCTCTGCTGCCGGCCACCAACATTGTGCCCGGCAGCAGAGCGTCAAAGGCTCAGACACTGCGTCAGTTGTGCGTCATCGGCTAAGTAAAAACATAAAAAAAAAATAAAAAAAAAGGCATTAAAAATAAATAAAACGCGATAAAATCCGTAAAAGTAGTTTTAATCAATATAAAATAAACCTCTGTTTCTTTTATAGAATAAGTGACAAACAAGCACTCATTTCACCTGATGGTAAAGTGGATGGTGCGGCCCATAGAAAACTACATTTATCCTCAATTAAGAATCAAACTGCTGATTCGTTGTTAGCCGTGAGGGCTTAAATGGAATGTCTCGTTTCCAGCAAAATTGATGTCCTGTGCTTTACACTCACCATACGAAACACAGCAGCATTAAGCTGCTATAATTTAGTGATAGTTAATTTTGAGTAGATCTATAAACTCAGCATAACAAATGCTTGAAAACGATCGTCTCATAATCAATATTATAATGTTGGATTATTACTCAAGACGGTAAACACGGGAAACATGATTCGGTTAAATCTTTAAAGAATGGCTTTGTGATAATCGAATTTGTTTTGAAACCGGAGTCTCGCCGAAAACGATACGTTATTAACTTTCGTCACTTGACATGTCGATTGAATGTTTATCGAGAGTTATGCGAGACGGAAGCGGGCACGGCGGCTACTTAACGTGTTATTTCACTCTCAATTTTAACAAATATTAACTAAACGCGGACATATATGTCAAGATGATGAAAGAAAGTTTATGATGAGCAAAAAACATAACCGTATCTATGGCGACGGTGTAAGAATATCTCGTATTGTCCTGTGAGTGTCTTAATACGCGACATAAAGAAACTAAAACAGGAGATGGGCAATAACATTTCTCTCATAACAAATCAAGATAATCAAAGTACTGTGTTTCCAAGCAAGCAATATTTGGGGAAGCAGGTTCAGAAGTGGAATTTATAGGCTACAAAGAGTGAATGAATGAAAAAAAAATTGTAAAATGGAGGAATCCTATGTCTAGAAGTGGAATTTCATGAACTGCTAATGATGATGGAGAGAAAATTACATATTTACTGTTATTGATAAAAAGTGGCCAGATTATACAAAATGATCATCGTGTATTCTTTATACATGTATAAATAATATGGGTGACAAACGAGCAAACAATCCACCTGATGTTTAGTGGATGCTGTGGCCCATAGACATTAAACATCAACCCTCGATTAAGAATCAAAATGAAGATGCGTTGTAATCCCTGAGGACTAAGATGGAATGCCTCGTTTCCAGTAAAAAGGGTATCCGGTTCTCTACACTCACCATATAAAACACAGCAGCATTGAGCTGCTAATTCACGCTGATATTCTGTTAGATCGTGGTTCTTCCCCTGTCAAGCCGTCCCATTCGTGCTACTATTACTATATTAGCTGCAGCGTGGCTCTACCACGTAAAATATTATTTGTCAAAGTAAAACTCACCCATTGCAAGTCATAGCCGTATCAGGCTCGCATATATCGAAGAAGGTTGGCCTTGGAATACCAGACACGGCCTTCATCACCTCAATGATTGAAATATTAAACATTAAGCCATAGGCGTAGCTTCTGTACAGCCATACAGCCTTTTTGGACGAATGGACTACTTTCGATCGTGTTGATTGTTCTGAATCGGTGAACACCAGTTCTGTGATCAAGATCTGAAATCGAAGTAATACATGATATTCCATGTTTGGTTTATGTTGATGTCAGTACTGTCAGCCTTTGGCTTCTACAGTTTTATCGGTCTTAGGATTTAGCTGTAAAAAGAGTGATTTTATATTATTTCCAACGTTACTTACGTAACGATGTTCACCTATGATAGTTTAACGTGCACGTAGATGAGTTGACTGTCTGTACAGGAGGTGGTGAGCCCCGGCTCTGATGACTAACTCGTATCGTTCGATGTTGATGCTGGGCGGTGAGTACCGCCCAGGGCGATGGTGTACAACGTGTGGAGGGATGTGCGGCACGCCCGTCTGTGGACTCGCTGGGTCCTATCCGTTGATCTAACGGTGTTTGCGACACTTGGTGAGTGTGTAGTCTTGGCGTGTGACGGGCCGGCGACATTTGGATCGTCGGAATCTAGCGGAACTGGGGGTTCAACTTACGGGATAAACGTTACGAGGCCTCCAGAGACTTTTCGTAACGTTTATAGTCGGAGCATAGATGGCTATGCTTACCACGAGCAGGTTGGATCTATCTCGGCCCCCTCAAGGTTGCGTTGAGACATTTCCTTGAAATATTCAGAGATCATCAGAAATTGACAGTCTCTGTGCAAGTTGGAGTTTTGCTGGTAGCACCGAGCTCCGGTGTCGTACAAATTACGATGAGCCGCTTGCGCAAAAGTTACACTTGCGTAGGACATGATAGGTTTTACGCGAGATTTGTAAAGATCTTCTGTCTTAAGGACTGTTTGCTCTTGCTGTTAACTAGCGGGTAGAAGGGACTAGTAACGAATTTGGCTCGGTTGCGGACAATGCCAATGTTCTATGTCTAACTAATAATGACAAAACAAGAGTTTCTTTTTAATTCAATTGAAGTGACATTCAGACATACAGCCTATCTATTGGTTAGTGGTTTTTGAAGCTCGAGGGCACCCACTACCAAATCAAACAAAGAAGTTCACAGATATGTTGTCAGCTATGAGGACTGAGATGTAACGCCTCACAGCCTGTAATATTAATGACTCTCTATACTCTTCAGACCAGAATACAGCAATGCATGATTATTTGGCGGATGAAATAGGTAATGCCGCGGTACCTATCCATACAGACTTCTAAGCTCTCTCTCAACTCTTTTACAACCTAGTGCAGATACTTTATACTATAGTACGTGAGGGTAATATCCGGTTATTATAATCATTGTTTTATAACTCAAAAACAGCCATATTTGCATAGAAAGCTATACGAAAAGATAACTGTTTATCAGTCAATCAAATAATAAAGAGTCAAAAGGACGCAGCTTTATCAACGCCATTTTAACAGTTGATATTATTGTATATATATTTTAGTAGATTTTAGTATGACATTAAGCAAAAGCAAAAGCAACCTGGTAAGACATGCAGGAATTCGATTTATGCAGATGGCTCAGGCCCGTGTTTTGTGACATTTCTTGGGGGAGGCCTATGTTCAGCAGTGGAATTGTGAAGGGCTGTAATGATGATGATGACGATGATAGTATGGCGTAGTGTAGTTAGTTTTTATTAAGTTTATTTTCGAAGTATTCCAAATTATTGCCAAAGCTTATTTGCTATTTCTTTTATTATTATATTAGTTATAGTATACGACTTTGTGTTATTACCCTCATGTTCCTTATACTACATCTGACGATAACAGATGTCGCTTTATTGACATTAAGTTTTGAAACGGCTTTTGGGATCGATGGTAGAGCTTAAAGTTCATTAACGTAAAGTGAATAAAATATTTCTTACTTTGACTTTGATTTAATTTAAAGTTTAATGTTTTCGTCTTTTATTAAGTGAAAATTCTAAAATCTAAATACATACCAGTAGCAATGGACACGCAATTATGGAGCAGATGATGAACGCCATTGAAATCGTGTCGCCAAGGTAAGGATACGACAGTGCTGGATCGTTGCAGAAGAAGCCGCTCTTGTGCTGGGGCAACATCCCTAGTTCTTGAAGGCCGAGGAGTGTAGCAACTGTGACACAAAGAACAGTATTGTTATTTCAAGATTGTATTTTATTGTAATTTCCGGATGGTATCTGGTATTTTTTTATTTATTACAGCCTATCATATTTTAATAGCTTACTGCCGAACCGCCTTCATGTTAGATTGCATCTTTATTTTGCCGTGATTACCACATATGACAGACAGAGGCAAACACAGTTTTTCATTATTGCGTAACGAATGGTTCGGTTCGACCGGAAAAGGACCACACTCTCAGAAAACACCATCGTAAAATAGTAGCTTAAGAGGTGAGAGTAAGTCAGCTCAAATTCTAATTTCGCCCCCACTTCCCCGCGCGTCGTATGCTATGTACCGACATGTTTGAAATCTCTAATACTCTAAGTAGATAGGTCGTTAGATACTTATTTCATTATGTTTATCATATATATGCCTGTTTCTTAACGCCAACCCAGTCGCTTCTTATTTTTATAACGGTTATTTCCCATTTTAATTTTACGTCTTCCTGTTGCGTAATGTGTTTTCTGATCGTAAGCGACACAACTTCTCCCTTCAAAAGCCGGAGCAATACTAACGGAGCGACAGGAACCAAGCTTACGCGCCGATAGTTTAGGTAATTTCTTTTTACAGTGAAAATAATGATATTTTAAAAAAGTAAATAACATAAGCACTGCTTTATGGTTAGTTCAGTTAGTATGCAAAGTTTCATGATCTTATTTAAAGTATTTTATGAATAACAGCGGTTTATTGTTCAGTTTGGAGGTAACTTTGGATTTTTTTTCTATCGAGAAAATTTTACGGAATCGTGTTTTCGTCTAACATAAACCTTAACATTAACCCTCAACTTTACCATATATTTATTTCAAAATTAATGCTGCAATACTTTCGGCATAACGGAGGATCTTGCTAAGCCATTTGAGGTTATATTTCCCCTTAACGGTGCTGTGTTTCGTATTGGTGAATGTAGAGAATCGTAGAATTCACTTTCTATAAAATTTGTAGCACAGAATATTGATGTAGGTACACAATAACGTACAACTTCACACTACATGAATTTTTAGTAACTTTGCACATCGTAAGGCTTGCCAAAGTAGGTGATAACTTAGCATGAGTTATGGTTATGTGTGGTAGTGGATTGCACAAGGCAATGTAGCCGTATTAAGGCTTTATTAGAGAAGAGAAGAGAAGAGAAGAATCCTTTACTCCTACCTTACCTTATAGAGAAACGTCCAGAAGATCAGGTAAATAGATGACGCTATAACCATCTTGTAAATCGCGACAGAAAGCAGTGTACTTTTGATACCTTTGTCGTTATTTTTTTTTATAGAAGTAAGGTTGACAAAGGAGCGTACCTACCTACCTACTACTAAGTTTGCGCTATAGCCCGTAGACAGACATTTAATCTTAATTAAGAATAAAATTCACGTGTGTTGTAACGCCTGTAGAATTTGATGAAATACTCCGTTATTGTTATGTTTTATACGCCTTACTTGTATACTTGCTTATCACATTAGTTTTTACGTGGTAGAGCCACGCTACAGCGATAAAATGGTTGTAGCCATTGAGTTATATGTACTGCGTACTAGAGAAGCTATTCCAAAATAAAAATGTGCACTACTCTGTATCCGCACATGCGCAGGAAACAGTAGTCTGCGCGTGCGCAGTTGATACAAACGCGCGAAAATAGTCATAATAAATAATTGTTTACTTAGATTGTATGGTCAATCGCGTACATTTCTTTTTAATTTTCGTTTATTTTACATATGTGCTAACTTAATATAACATTATTATTAGCGCCGCTCCACACTGCATGAATATCGAAGCCTGTCGATAACAGGTGTACGGATTGCAGTATAGTTCATTGAACATAGTGAGTGTTCGGAATGCCATATCTAGTGCGTAGTAAGTACATATATCGATGGTTGTAGCACGAATCGGTGAGCTCGACCGAGGAAGGCACGCTCTCACAGAACAGTAGCGTAAATAGTAGCTTGACGGTGCTGTGTTGTGTGTAGTGAGTGTAGAGAAACGGAGACCCTTTTTACTGAAAACGAGGCATTCCGTCTTAAGTCTTCAAGAGTGATAACGTTTGTTGTCACAAATGCATTTTGATCTTAATTGAGGACAAATGTGAATGTCTATGGGTCACAGCATCCACTTACCACTGGGTGAACTGTGTGCCCGTTTGTCACCCTTATTATATATAAAAACATACAAAATATATCACATAAATTTATATAGTCTTTGGTCTCCCCAGTGCACTTCAAAATAACATGCTCGTTTTGTCCCGGACAAAAGGACAATACCTACAACCATTTGGGCAATGCTCGGGCCGGTCATTTGCCAATTAGTTTCGCCATTGCCAAAACAACATCCTCGATTTGGTTAAGTTCAAAGTCAATGTCGCAGCGACAGGACAAACGAGGCGTTGGGAGGAGTACCGAGCAAATTGCGTAAGTGGTGTCAATGAGACGTCGCGGGCGAGATAAAATTTGCAGGGGTCTATTCCTATAAACTAGGATTATATTCATATTTTAAAAAAACAATACTGATAACGGTTTCTTATATCATTTTCTAGTATAGATATGTGATCTAGACAAAATCTTAATGTAACTGGTACATCCAATTTTGCGCATATCTTTATAAAGGAACCGCCATGTGTGAAACTGCCAATATGGCCGCCGCAATATAAGAGGCTTAAGCAAATGGTCGGAAATTTTATAAAATAATACTGAAATTATCGTGCAGAAATAAATAACCTTAAAATATCTGAACACTATGTATAAAGTACACATAGACTAAGGTGTTGATTAATATATTTACTGTGTTGTGGCGGTGTAAGAATACTCGTATCCACTATCCCATATCATCCCGTGGGTGTCGTAAGAGGGGAGTGGGAAACAAATTAGAAGATTGGCAGCAGCGTCTTCCTAATAGCGACTAAAAATATAAAATTGCAGTTGCCAACCCACTTGCCAAGTGTTGCAACTATGGAAAATATAAAATTGCAGTTGCCAACCCACTTGCCAAGCGTTGCAATTATGGAAAATATTTTTAGCAGTAGAATTTATTAAGGTATAACGGTAACGGTAAATATATTTCAGTTTCAAAGGTATGTAATATGTATACATCTCCACTTCCCGAGTATGTGAGGAAACCCTAAAGATGATAGCTCATTCTGCCTGACGATTTTATTATTATAATACCACAGAGTAAAGCGTTTTTGTATTACGTAACTTTAATATTTGAAAGTTAACAAACTTAAAATTTATAAACAGCAATATATTTCTTTATTTTTCAGGTATAAAGGTGACAAACGAGCACACAGTCTAAGTGATGGTAACTGGATGCTAAGGCCTAAAGACATATTCTCTAAACTCAATTAAGAATCAAAATGCAGATGCAGAACCTTAAGGACTAACTCGGAATGCCTTGTTGACAGTAAAAAGGATCTATACGAAAAACAGTAACATTATGCGGCTATTTTACATCGAGTCGATCCATTCTTGCTACAACCATAATATATGTGCAGCATGGCTGTATGATATGTTGATATTATAAATGGTGGTTACCGGGAAAATATACCTACATGGTGGATGAAGCGAAATGGGTACCTTATTTATTGTTAACGGGGCATTCTCTTTTGACTATATATCCCAAAAACCAGTATTAAGTACAATTATAAGTTTTAACAAAAAAACCGACTTCAAATTGCTAAAAAGAAAGTTATTTATTTGCAAACCTCAGGGTGGAATATTTTCTACAAATTTATATGAGGCCACCCTTGTAGTGTAACCTGTTTAAGAAAAAAAGAATAGTTAAATCGGGGATTTATCTGCGAATTTCATATGAGATTCCTTAAACAATAGTACAATATGAAACGTTCCCCTATTTTCCACCCTTGTAGGTGGTTTTTTTAATTTAATGGGACCACCCTTGAGGTATATTAATATATACTTCAAGGGTGGTCTCATTATATTAATATACCACCCTCGAAGCCTATTTAATAAAAAGATAATTATTAAAATCGGTTCACAATCTGCGAAGGTAACTCGTAACATACACACAAAAAGAACATGCATTCGAATTGAGAACCTCCTCCTATTCAAAGTCGGTTAAAAAGGGCACAAATGAATTGTCACCTACGAAGAGTATTCTGAAATGCCACAGGCTGCACTGGCTTTCTACATTTGAGAACGGAGCATAGCAGTGGGTGTCAAAGTTGCTTTGTGGTGGGAATAGTTAAAAAGGTGGTAGAATTTCATTAATTATGTTTTAATATTTGCTTCATCAGCCCGTAGAAATCCAGTGCTGGCCATTTTTTTTTATAATTATATGGGTGACAAACGAGCACACAGTCTACCTGATGGTAAGTGGATGCTGTGACTCCTAAACATCTCTACATTTAACCTCGATTAAGAATCAAAATGTAATGTATCTAAGTCACGACAATTGAAAAAAAATTAACAGCAACTTTATAACTCTAAGGAATGATGTGAGACTTATAGGTCCCACGTTTATATGGTATTTATTACAAAACAGAATATACCAACTATTGTGCTATTTGTCTAGTATGTCACAAAAGGCGACTAATTGGGTATTGGGCTTTTGAATGAGTACGTGATGTGCTAGCCACATATAACTTCTTTCACAATCACATTTAGATTCATTATAACTAAACACATAATTATTGGGCTAAACGTGGTTCGAGTAGTTAGCTGAAACTGAAAGTAAAATATTCCATACAACAAAAAAAATAGTATAAGGTCAGAGTTCCCTCTGGTTATATCTTTTTATTTTTCAGCTTCAGGAAATTGAAATAAACACACGTCATCACGAGCTGATTGGTGAAATCAAATTATTCATGATTACAGAAGATGTCCTCGGTAAGTGGGAACTTTGCCCCGAGATTTCAATTTCTTACATTTATCATGATATACAATTTCACATGAAGTATTGAATAAGGACTTGTTATAGTTGTTTAGATTACTTTTTAACACAGACAGTCACAGACCACTGCGACTCGCTTTATAAAGCGCAGTCGCAGAGTCGCAGATACGATAATATACGAAAGCATAAGTACTTGCTCTCGAAATCCTACAAAATTATTAGACATGTTTTTTGGAGCGGATTGTCCATAATATTACCTACAGTGAGTTGGCGGTAGATTTTAGATTTGCTAGACTGCTCATCAGAATAAGATGCAGATTTTGATTTTAATGCACGTGTTGCATTACCATTTACTAAAAGGCTAAGAATTTGGATAGAACGTGATTTAAAGCTTAAAAAGGACCGAGGCGAATTTAATCGTACTTTGTTTATAGAATAATAGTGACAAACAACCACGCAATGCCCCCAGCATTCACTTACCTGATGGTAAGTGAATGTTGCGGCCCATAGACATCTAAATTTATCTTTGATTAAGAATCAAAATGCATATGCAATGTCACCCCTGAGGACTAAAACATAATGCCACGTTTCCAGTAAAAAGGGTATCCAGTACTCTACACTTACTATGCGGAACACATCAGGATTAAGCTGATATTTCATGCTGCTATTCTACGAAAGCTTAGGCCTTCCTCGGTCGTTCCGACCCATTCGTGCTAGAACCGTAATATTGACGCACCGTGGCTCTACCATCGCTTACACCAGCTGTATTCCATCACATAATATTTACAAGATAGATTCGGATCCTATAATTTTATTATAAATTGTTTTGGCATCTGTATCGATAGTGTCGTATACCCCAATTCGAATTAAAAATAATATTTAACGTGCAGAAATCATTAGAATATGTATTTATTAAAGAAAATGAAAATTTAAGCCTTTAAATTTAGCCTTTAATAAAAGGTTTTTTCTTATAAAACCGAAGTAACGATCTAACTGTCCGGCTGAGTGGCTACTGTAGTAGACAACCAAAAAAGGCCAGGCATTTGTTTGCATTTGTTTGCAGGTGTCCGTGCATGGACATGTGCTTGGACACCTGCAAACAAATACAAATAACAATGGCTACAAATTTGTTGTCACCTTTGAGGACTACGATAATAAAATTACATGTGGATGCGACACGCTGCAGCTATATTATTGTTGTAGCGCGAATGGGTCGGCTCGATCGAGGAAGGTCCACGCTCTCACAGCAGCGTAAATAGCAGCTTAATACTGCTGTATTTCGTATGGTGAGTGTAGAGATCCGGAGACGATTTTTAACTGGAAACGAGGCATTCCATCTTAGTCCTCGAGGATGACAACGGATCTGCATTTTGATTTTTAATCGAGGTTAAATGTAGCTCTCTATGGGCCATAGCACCCACTTACCATCAGGTGGGCTGTGTGCTCGTTTGTCACCCTTATTATATAAAAAAATCAAAGCTTTTAATTATACTGGCTCTCGTATACTCTTCAAACCGGACCACAGCGCTGTTGACTCACTCTTGGCCCTCCTTTTGATTTTTGAATCATTTCACTGCTATAGGTTAATAAAGTTAATAAATTTGTCCAAATTAAATATGTCTTATTTCACTTTAACCCTTCAAGCGCCATAATAATCCCTTGCAGTCGCATGCGCCCGGCAAATCCCGAGCGGTCGTATACGACCGCACCCACCCACAGCACTTAAAACCATTAAAACTTATATTTAGAGACTACTTTTCTAGGAAGAAGTTTAGCATTATAAAATCTATACAAAATTTTCTATCTTATGTTCTAAACAAAAATCGGGTTTTACTTCATTACAAAAAGATTTTATTGTATTTTGATAACAAAAAAATACATACCAAGCGAATGTCGGCAGCTTGAAAATCACAATTATTTCAATATATATTACTCGAAATTATTTACGTAAAAAGATAAATTATATTCATACAAAAACTTTCATTACAATTTTATAATAAAACACTGTACTAAAACACTAATAAAACACTAGAAAAATCAAAATATCAACACAATAACATTCACGCGAAAATGGCGTACCAAATGAACGTATATAACAGTTATTAACATAACAGTTTTTTTATTGCACTAGAGGAGAGAGTATTTCATATTTGTTATATAATGCCAAACTTCTTCATAGAAAAGTAGTCTCTATATTTAAGTCTTTATGGGTTAAAGTGCTGTGGGTGGGTGCGACCTCATAAGACCGCTAGGGAATTGACGGAATATGGCCGCGGTCTCATGAGACCGCTAGGGGGTTGAGAGGTTAAAAGCACAGACATCTTTAAAAGACGTATTAATAAAATATTATTGAAACATAAGAGTATTTCTTGTATTCATTTAACTTTCTTAAAATATTACCTTAAAATTATTCAGACACGACGCTAGTGTCCTGCCGTTTTTGTGTAGTA